TATATAAACGCAGCAATAAAGCAACCATTTTATTCTTTATGTCATGTGCCGTTCTAATGAGGAATGACCGAAAACAATCGTTACACAATACGAATTTTAAAAAAAACCACTTTTATTCCACAAGGCTGTACTAAAGGTTGCGTTTTAGACCAGGCTTTACTCTTGCATTCATATGCATCGATGCTAATGAAAAGTGTCTGATCGAACGCTGTGGGGTAGCCTAACCAACTGGAACTTTTCTATACTCTCTATCTATACTGCATACTTTATATGTCAACTATATCAGTAACAACCATGAAGTAGTATTAGGGTAGTTAATTACGAACAGAAAACGGCAAATCGAATCAACTAGTCTTCTAACAATAGGACCTTGCACTGATCATATCGTGAAGGCTTTACTGAATCCTATTTTGCGTGGTCAAGTTAGACTTGCTTATAGGCGTAACTATACGAGTTCCAGGAAGCATTTCACAAGAAAAAGAAGACGCAACCACTGGTACAAGAGCTTTATTTTTCTGACACCTCGGATTCAGTGAGAAAATAAAGCTCTTGTTACAGTGGTCGCGTCTTCTTCTTCTGCATCCCCTAGACTGTTAAAACGAGAAACTGCGAAAATGTCAGGCCAATAGAAAGGTTCGTTCCAGTACGTACTAAAAGGATTCTGGTTAAATTATATATTTGCCAGAAATGAGTTCAACTTAGTTCACACTATTGATTTGCTATATAGGAAGCGTGAGGGTCAATAATGCGGTATAAAGGTAAGGAAAAAGTAAGCTTGCAGTCATAATTTAGCACTCAGAGGTTCTGAAAACTGTCGAATCGGGAAAAATAATGTCGAAGAAATTCCACAGGGGCAGGTATGAACTTACTTCTTCCGATTCTATATCAGATGCCTTTTCACTAAGTTTACACTGTCTGTTCGTCAGCTGCTTAATGTCGTTTCCTAATTTCTCCATCAGGGCTTCTTCCTCAAGGGAAGCTGTTACCACATGTAATTTGGTCTTCTCGAGGGTGTTGTCAGCAAGGGAGTACAGTCGCTCAGTCACAGCCATTATTTCTTGGTAAAAAGTATCCTTGCGTAAAACCTGATTTTCTCGTAGCAGAAAAAGAATGGTTTTGAAAGAATCAAGTGCTTTTCTTTTGGATTCCAAAGTGATCCGCTTTTTTGCCAGATCAGCAAGGGACTAAACAGAAAAGTTGGAACAACAAAAGGGAAGAAGATTAGATGTTGGTAATTCCGTCATGAGAGGTGGTAGATGTACCGTGGCTTACAGTATTTACAGGTGTTGGCAGCTATTAGATCGGGGATATACAGTAGCAGATATGATCTAATACCGGCAAGAGAGCGAGCACGTAGCTCAATGATCAGTGCGTTTTACTTTGAGCAGAGAGGTCGCGAGTTCGAGGGTTTGGTGTGACACCCCCTGGGTCTAGGCATGCCTAGTTGACGACAGCTAATAAGCCAGAAATAGCTATCATATTCTCCTTTGTCTTTGCCCGTAATGTTCGTCTGTGTTTTCCTCTGACATTCATCACAACACGCTGCGTACATCCCCTTCGAGACATCGTCTGCCCTTCTCTATGTCTGCGTCCCTGAAAATCAGTGTGACAAACTCATCTCTCGATTTTCAATTTATCTGATGATGGGCAATTTATACCTCCTTGAAAATTTACGAGTAAACCTCTCTTTTTCTACAAGACTCCTCTTTTCTCCATATCACTTCGGAATGCATGCCACCAGCGGACGAGCAGAACAGGACGATTGAGTTCCGTCAACCACCGATGAACGTTAATCAACCACTGTACATAAACGTATTTAATAAAAAGAGAAGAGCTTATTTGAAAAAAATGAAACCGAAATTTCGACCTGTATGGCCTATGTAAACGCAAGTACAATTATCCCACAGACTGCAAGTATCTACTTAAAAAGGAATTTAGTCTACTTACACCAAGTAACCCGATGGAACTGATACCAGAGGAGCTTTGTAAAGAAAGTGTACTGGACGACAAACATTACGGACAAAGACAAGGGCGACAG